ACTTTCACAGGAGCCCTTCCCATCGACCGGTCACAGTAAATGGACAGGACATTGAAGTGGTTCAATCCTATAAATATCTGGGGGTCCACCTGGACCACAGACTGGACTGGGAGTCCACCTGAACCACAGACCGGACTGGGAGTCCACCTGGACCACAGACTGGACTGGTCAGCTCAGGCCAATGCCATCTACAAGAAAGGTCAGAGCAGATTTTTCTTTCTGAGTAGACTCAGGTCCTTTGATGTGAGCAGTCAGATGTTGCACATCTTTTACCAGTCTGTAGCTAGTGTTGTGTTCTTCAGGGTTGTGTGTTGGAGGCAGTCTGTAGCTAGTGTTGTGTTCTTCAGGGTTGTGTGTTGGGGGCAGTCTGTAGCTAGTGTTGTGTTCTTCAGGGTTGTGTGTTGGAGGCAGTCTGTAGCTAGTGTTGTGTTCTTCAGGGTTGTGTGTTGGAGGCAGTCTGTAGCTAGTGTTGTGTTCTTCGGGGTTGCGTGTTGGGGGCAGTCTGTAGCTAGTGTTGTGTTCTTCAGGGTTGTGTGTTGGAGGCAGTCTGTAGCTAGTGTTGTGTTCTTCAGGGTTGTGTGTTGGAGGCAGTCTGTAGCTAGTGTTGTGTTCTTCAGGGTTGTGTGTTGGGGGCAGTCTGTAGCTAGTGCCGTGTTCTTCAGGGTTGTGTGTTGGGGGCAGTCTGTAGCTAGTGTTGTGTTCTTCGGGGTTGCGTGTTGGGGGCAGTCTGTAGCTAGTGTTGTGTTCTTCAGGGTTGTGTGTTGGAGGCAGTCTGTAGCTAGTGTTGTGTTCTTCAGGGTTGTGTGTTGGGGGCAGTCTGTAGCTAGTGCCGTGTTCTTCAGGGTTGTGTGTTGGGGGCAGTCTGTAGCTAGTGTTGTGTTCTTCGGGGTTGCGTGTTGGGGGCAGTCTGTAGCTAGTGTTGTGTTCTTCGGGGTTGTGTGTTGGGAGCAGTCTGTAGCTAGTGCCGTGTTCTTCGGGGTTGCGTGTTGGAGGCAGTCTGTAGCTAGTGTTGTGTTCTTCGGGGTTGCGTGTTGGGGGCAGTCTGTAGCTAGTGTTGTGTTCTTCGGGGTTGTGTGTTGGGAGCAGTCTGTAGCTAGTGCCGTGTTCTTCGGGGTTGCGTGTTGGGGGCAGTCTGTAGCTAGTGCCGTGTTCTTCGGGGTTGCGTGTTGGGGGCAGTCTGTAGCTAGTGCCGTGTTCTTCGGGGTTGCGTGTTGGGGGCAGTCTGTAGCTAGTGCCGTGTTCTTCAGGGTTGTGTGTTGGGGGCAGTCTGTAGCTAGTGCCGTGTTCTTCGGGGTTGCGTGTTGGGGGCAGTCTGTAGCTAGTGCCGTGTTCTTCAGGGTTGTGTGTTGGGGACAGTCTGTAGCTAGTGCCGTGTTCTTCAGGGTTGCGTGTTGGGGTCAGTCTGTAGCTAGTGCCGTGTTCTTCAGGGTTGCGTGTTGGGAGCAGTCTGTAGCTAGTGCTGTGTTCTTCAGGGTTGCGTGTTGGGGGCAGTCTGTAGCTAGTGCCGTGTTCTTCGGGGTTGTGTGTTGGGAGCAGTCTGTAGCTAGTGCCGTGTTCTTCAGGGTTGCGTGTTGGGGGAAGTCTGTAGCTAGTGCCGTGTTCTTCAGGGTTGCGTGTTGGGGGCAGTCTGTAGCTAGTGCCGTGTTCTTCGGGGTTGTGTGTTGGGGGCAGTCTGTAGCTAGTGTCGTGTTCTTCGGGGTTGCGTGTTGGGGGCAGTCTGTAGCTAGTGCCGTGTTCTTCGGGGTTGCGTGTTGGGGGCAGTCTGTAGCTAGTGCCGTGTTCTTCAGGGTTGTGTGTTGGGAGCAGTCTGTAGCTAGTGCCGTGTTCTTTGGGGTTGCGTGTTGGGGGCAGTCTGTAGCTAGTGCCGTGTTCTTCAGGGTTGTGTGTTGGGGGCAGTCTGTAGCTAGTGTTGTGTGTTGGGGGCAGTCTGTAGCTAGTGCCTTGTTCTTCGGGGTTGTGTGTTGGGGGCAGTCTGTAGCTAGTGCCGTGTTCTTCGGGGTTGCGTGTTGGAGGCAGTCTGTAGCTAGTGTTGTGTTCTTCAGGGTTGTGTGTTGGGAGCAGTCTGTAGCTAGTGCCGTGTTCTTCGGGGTTGTGTGTTGGGGGCAGTCTGTAGCTAGTGTTGTGTTCTTCAGGGTTGCGTGTTGGGGGCAGTCTGTAGCTAGTGCCGTGTTCTTTGGGGTTGTGTGTTGGAGGCAGTCTGTAGCTAGTGCCGTGTTCTTTGGGGTTGTGTGTTGGAGGCAGTCTGTAGCTAGTGCTGTGTTCTTCAGGGTTGCGTGTTGGGGGCAGTCTGTAGCTAGTGCCGTGTTCTTCAGGGTTGCGTGTTGGGGGCAGTCTGTAGCTAGTGTTGTGTTCTTCAGGGTTGTGTGTTGGGGGCAGTCTGTAGCTAGTGCCGTGTTCTTCAGGGTTGCGTGTTGGGGGCAGTCTGTAGCTAGTGCTGTGTTCTTCAGGGTTGTGTGTTGGGGGCAGTCTGTAGCTAGTGCCGTGTTCTTCAGGGTTGCGTGTTGGGGGCAGTCTGTAGCTAGTGTTGTGTTCTTCGGGGTTGCGTGTTGGGGGCAGTCTGTAGCTAGTGCCGTGTTCTTCAGGGTTGCGTGTTGGGGTCAGTCTGTAGCTAGTGCCGTGTTCTTTGGGGTTGTGTGTTGGAGGCAGTCTGTAGCTAGTGCCGTGTTCTTTGGGGTTGTGTGTTGGAGGCAGTCTGTAGCTAGTGCCGTGTTCTTCAGGGTTGCGTGTTGGGGGCAGTCTGTAGCTAGTGCCGTGTTCTTTGGGGTTGCGTGTTGGGGGCAGTCTGTAGCTAGTGCCGTGTTCTTCGGGGTTGCGTGTTGGGGGCAGTCTGTAGCTAGTGCCGTGTTCTTCGGGGTTGCGTGTTGGGGGCAGTCTGTAGCTAGTGCCGTGTTCTTCAGGGTTGCGTGTTGGGGGCAGTCTGTAGCTAGTGCCGTGTTCTTTGGGGTTGTGTGTTGGAGGCAGTCTGTAGCTAGTGCCGTGTTCTTCAGGGTTGCGTGTTGGGGGAAGTCTGTAGCTAGTGCCGTGTTCTTCAGGGTTGCGTGTTGGGGGCAGTCTGTAGCTAGTGCCGTGTTCTTCGGGGTTGTGTGTTGGGGGCAGTCTGTAGCTAGTGTCGTGTTCTTCGGGGTTGCGTGTTGGGGGCAGTCTGTAGCTAGTGCCGTGTTCTTCGGGGTTGCGTGTTGGGGGCAGTCTGTAGCTAGTGCCGTGTTCTTCAGGGTTGCGTGTTGGGGGCAGTCTGACCTGAGAGACAGTAACCGGCTCAGGCTGATCAGGAAGTGTGTCTCTGTGATGGGGAGAAGTGTGGACTCTGTGGGAGCTGTGCTGGAGAGAAGCGGCTCTAATGCAAGGCATCCTGGGTAACTCCAGACACCCTCTGCATGACATTATTAACTTATTGTATTTTATTTTTATTCATTCATTCGATCGTGTATTTATATATATTTCTGGACAGTTGTGTAAATATACCATACAGGTTAGGATGTTGTTGGTGCAGCACATACAGCTGCAGGTCGTCTTCCTCATCACTCAATATTCTCATGCTTTGTTCATTCAATCGTCTCTTTGTATTTGATTAAAATACTAATAACACATGAGTTAAACACATACACAGTGAAATGTCTGCTCCGTGTGACAGAAATGTATTTGTGTTGATTCCTAAATAAATTATCAGTATCCTCTTAAAGGGACAGTGTGTCATTTTGGGTTTTTTTATTGTGAAAAAAATAGACATACAATACAAGTGCAGACATACAGAAAACTACAATAAGACAGACAACAGTGTGTATATTTACATGTGGGTGTGTGTGTGTGTGTGCGTTTGTTTTGTGGACATATGAGGACTTTTGTATGCTAACACACCTTCAATATGAGGACCTGAGGAAATACGGGGACTTTTTTCAGGTCCCCATTGTCCCATGCATACTACAGTGTTGTAGAGGCCCAAAACAAGCTCCACACCAAAAATCCAGCATGTCCCAAAATGTCTGCAAATAGTGAAAATGTGTGTCGGGGCCGAAACACTCTGTCCCAAAAAGTTTGATACGCCCCCTGTGGTCGTGCACAGAACTACCTCAACACACTTTAAACACACACACACTTGTCCTCATATGTCACTTATTTTATCACAAACTTAAATACATTCCCAGAGGTGGGTAGAATAGCCAAAATATACACTCAAGCTAATTTAAAAACATACATGAGACTTGAGAAGTGAATGACTGTTTGTACAAAAAAAACCTTTCAGCCAGAAGAGACCTTTTGGAGTGGAGTTTGCATGTTCTCCTTGTGTCAGTAGATTTTCTACGGGTACTCTGGTTTCCGATAACATAAAAAAAATGTACAAAAGGTTCCCAAAAAAAGACTTCAAAGATGATTCTTAGGGTGTTTTCACACCTGCACCATTTAGTCCACTTAAAACGGACTGGAGCCCGGACCACCTGCAAGTACAATTCGTTTGAGTGTGTGTGAAAGTGGACCAGTTAAAATTGGTCCGGACTAAAGAACCGCACCGAGACCAACTCTATCGGCGCGGTTCCAGTCTGGTTCGCTGCTGGTGAGAACGCTGACCGGCCTCGATTTTGCCCTTCTCTGGTGCGTAGCTCACTTTTTGTTCTACCGAAGCTTCCGTAGCAAGCTGCGCGGTGTTCTGGGTAACACAAACTTTTTCCGTAAACATTGTTTTGAAGATGCTGGAAATGAATCGGGGACAAACATGGTCGAAAGTGGAGGTACAGTGCCTCATAGAAATATGGTCAGATGAGCACATTATTGCCCAACTATCGAGCACCCACAAAAATGCGGACATTTTCGCAATTTTCTCAAAACAGATGAGAGAACGCGGTTTCCAACGGTCAGTTGAACAGTGCCGCGTTAAAACCAAAAAACTAAGACAGCAATACATAAAAATACGGGATGCTCTGAAACAATCTGGAGGCACTTCAAAAGTTAAAGATAAGTTTGAGTGGTAGGAGGCACTGGATAAAATCCTTGGGACAAAGCCTGACATGGAGCCTATTGACATTGTGGAGTCAAATGAGGAGACGATAGAGCCCCCAACAGATGACACCGAGACCGAAGCAGATGTCCCCGGGCTATCTGTGTCACTACATGGTAAGAAACCTTCTCTATGAACACAGTTACGATGTTAAAAGATTAACAATAGTTATTGTGCTGCTGCATTACAGACGAGGAGGCAGATACTAGCCTGGACAGCGATGTCTCATGTGCTCAGGAGAGTGAACCCACTCGAGCCAGCGGGAGGCTTGAGATACCTGGGGCCAAGTCAAGAAAAAGAAAAGCAAAGGCCAGGGGACGGGATGACGACTTCGCCAAATATATGGCAGAAAGCAACAAGGTTTTGGAGGAAATGAGGGAGGCAGAGACCAGGCAGTTAGAACAGGATCAGGCTCTACAGAAGATGCTCAAAGCGCAACAAGAAGCAGATGAAAGAAGATTTAGTGCCTTGATGACCCAGATGCAAGCCTCAAATCAGCTGATGGCGAATTGTTTTTTCGCAACTTATCAATATGGTGAACACACAGGTTCCTCCTTCATCATCCTGGTCTGGTGGTCCGTCCCATCAGAGCCCCCCTTATCATGTTCCACACAGCTCCCATCAGCTGCCACCTTCTGGAGCTCCACCACAACACACCAGTCCAGACTATTATAACCTTTAAGATGTATGTTACAATTTGTTGCTATATCTGTGTGTTGTAACATGCATAAGGTTTTAATGTTTTTCTTATCAGGATGTTTACCTGTGTTTCATGTTTGCAAACTAAGGAAATTTTAAGTTATATCTAAGAGCAAACTTTTCAAACATACAGTATTTTGTGTTAAGTTCAAGATGTAATGTAATGTTATGAATAACTTTTTTGTCTATGCAGCACTTTGTTGTGTGTTCATGCACATTGACAGTCAAGTAAATAAAACTTACAAAAAATGTTGTCAAAATTAAACATTTAAATGTGTAATTCAGAACATGCACACAGGTTGAAGTATTACACAAAGTCATTGACCAAACAATCACAAAAGTCAACGTAATAATTTTGAATCATCAGCTACAAAAATGTAACTATGACTCTGCAAAACTGATGTCTTTTTAAGGTTAACATGGGAACATTCATGCTAATAGACATACTAGCAAAACACTTTTATTTACAAAGTAGAAAAATATCTACACAGGGCATTGCAGATCTCTGATTGTTGTCGATAATCACCACCTCTCCCCTCTGGAACAGCTTCAACATCGTCATCAGCTTCAGTGTCTCCATTCAAATAATTCTCATTATGCATTTCCACAAAGTTGTGCAAAATACAACATGCTGAAACAATTCGACTCACAAATGTAATATGGGCATCACATGTCTTCAATGGGCAACGCCATCGTCCTTTAAGGCGCCCAAACGCACGCTCAACTGTCATGCGAGACTGACTCAGTTTGAAGTTGAAGTTGATGTGGTCAGCTGTAACCCCTGCTCCCTCTGGATACGGTTTCATGAGCCATGGGAGGAGAGGATATGCGGAGTCCCCCAGCAGAACCAGAGGCACATCTACGCCTTCAAATGCTTCCGTCCAGTCCGGGAATAAAAGGCCATTAATCCCTCTTTGATATGAAGAAGACAGGGCAAATACCCACGCATCGTGTATTTTTCCTGCACGACCCACGTTTATGTCCCAAAATCTCATGCGATGATCTACCACAGCCTGAAGAATGATAGAGTAGTCCCCTTTTCGGTTGTAGTAAGAGGCAGAGTTCTCTGATGGTGCACGTATTTTAATGTGTGTACCATCAATGGCACCTGCCACTTGAGGGAAACGCCATTTGTCTCTAAACCCCTGTACAATAGTTCTCATCTCTGCTGCAGTGGGAGGGTGAATGTACTTTGGTTTCAGGATGACGTTAATAGCAGTTACCACTTCTTGAGTGATGAGACAAGTGGAAAGTCCCACACCAATCAGATGTGAAATAGATCTAAATTCAAGGTTGGTGGCTAGCCTCCAAATACAGATTCCAACTCTAAGTTCAACTGGCACAGCCTGTATTTGGTGTTGAGACGAGTCAACCAGGGGCGAAGCAGATTGCATAGCGTGTTGAAAGTGGTTCTTCCCATTCTGAACTTTGCACTCCACTGAACATCTGTCCAGCTGTGAGTCACAAACTGCCACCAGTCCCAGGTCTTCTGTGGGTCCACACACTCCTATGAAAGCATACACCAAATTATTTTTCTACTCATAGCATGTACATGTTGGTATTGTAATGGTTTAGTGACAGTAGAATATGTGGGTGCAGTGACAGCATTTTGTTTTTTAATATAATAAAATAGTATTTGGTATTGCAACAATAATCAATAGTGAATAACTGATGATTCTCCGTTTATCCCCGTCAATTTCCCTTCGCCTTTGTTTTGCGCGTGGCAAACAGACCAACAGTTCCCTTAATCCTACATGATGATAGGAAGATAATCTTACCGGAGAGAATTCCAAAAATGCCGCCGAAAAAGAAGTTGGTTCAAGTTTTGCAGTTTGGCTCTTTTTTGTAGATAGTGTTTTGCAACTCGTCTTCTCCGCTCCAAAAACAGCCGCAAAGTGTTCTCGCTCTGAATCCTCGATACATGTTGGAACTACTGCAGTATTTGTGCTTGCTGGACCATGAAACGATGATAAAAAACAGTCACAAACGCGAGCAGAGTGGCACAGTTCATAGTGGAGAATTTGACCCGTTTGTTTTCTTCCGGGATTTTTCCCTCTTCACATCCTGCGCCAATCAGCTTTCACCTACGTCATCCAATACACAGTATTTTCTGAACAGCGCCACCACATGGCTGGCGCTGTTCACAAACATCCACACTGGTTGGTTCAATTGCAAAAACACTGGTGTGAATGAGAACCGAACTAGTTAAGAACTGCAACATTTGCCGTTTTTCCACAGTGTCGGTTCAGTTCATTTCGGTACGGTACGGCGCACCTATTTTGCGTTTCCACTAGTGGATGGAATGGGAGATTTGAGTACTTTTCCGTACTGCCTCAGCCGTGGTTCCATCCCCATAGTACCGGTGCCATGACGTGACGTCGGCCCACTGCCTTACACTGATTGGTCAACGAGTGTCGTCACTGGAAGCGACCTCTGACCCTTTGGGAAAAACAACTCAACCGCCATCTTTAAAAGCGGCTGCTCTGCTCGGCTCTGCTTCGGCTACATTACGTCCTCCTCACTCCAGAGAAATGGAATTGCACAGAAAGCCCCAAAAGTCCTGGTCCTGGTCGGTGGAAGAGGTCCACACGTTCCTCTCTTCAGGCCAAAGAAAGAATCCAAAGGCAGCTCGAGGCTCAACACAGTTTTCAGGAGATTGCTCTGGATTTGTGACTAGTCTGTGGTAATCCTGAAATAACTGGTTAAGCCTGGTTCACACGGCAGGATAATTAGGCCGATTTTGTCCTCAGCCTCAGTCCTGGGACTCCTCAGCCCGAGTCCTGGGTCTAAAGCCTCAGTCCTGGGACTCCTCAGCCCGAGTCCTGGGTCTAAAGCCTCAGTCCTGGGACTCCTCAGTCCGAGTCCTGGGTCTAAAGCCTCAGTCCTGGGACTCTTCAGCCCGAGTCCTGGGTCTAAAACCTCAGTCCTGGGACTCCTCAGCCCGAGTCCTGGGACTCCTCAGCCCGAGTCCTGGGTCTAAAGCTGAGGAAAGCGTTAGCATTAGCTATAGCCTAGCAGTATCCTGGGACATGCAGCCCTCCTCCTCTGCTACACAGGCTGCTGTTGCTACAGGTCCATTCAGATTGTACAGAGCAGCACCATTGACTTCACAGTTTCTGAGTCATTCTTTTAAGACAAAAGCATTTTCAAAAACTACTCGTGCTGTGCTGAATTTTCTATTAAACACTTTGATATTATAATAAATCCATGCACCGCACCAGTACTAGTTACACGTCACATGTAAATGACGTGGTCTGACAACGCTGAGGACAAACTGGGGGTACTATTTATGATGGAAAAGCACGAGAACTGGGCCATGGCGCGCCGTGTAGAGTCAAAACGTACCGTACTAGGACCGTGGAAAAACGGCAATTGAACCACTTTAGTGGACCAACAGGTGTGAAAGCACCATTACACCTCAGCTGGATCTGAGTCATCTGTATTGATATACAGCTCCAGTCCTGGGTCTAAAGCCTCAGTCCTGGGTCTAAAGCCTCAGTCCTGGGTCTAAAGCCTCAGTCCTGGGTCTAAAGCCTCAGTCCTGGGTCTAAAGCCTCAGTCCTGGGACTCCTCAGGCCGAGTCCTGGGTCTAAAGCCTCAGTCCTGGGACTCCTCAGCCCGAGTCCTGGGACTCCTCAGCCCGAGTCCTGGGTCTAAAGCCTCAGTCCTGGGACTCCTCAGCCTCAGTCCTGGGTCTAAAGCCTCAGTCCTGGGACTCCTCAGCCCGAGTCCTGGGACTCCTCAGCCCGAGTCCTGGGACTCCTCAGCCCGAGTCCTGGGACTCCTCAGCCCGAGTCATGGGTCTCCTCAGCCCGAGTCCTGGGACTCCTCAGCCCGAGTCCTGGGACTCCTCAGCCCGAGTCCTGGGTCTAAAGCCTCAGTCCTGGGACTCCTCAGCCCGAGTCCTGGGACTCCTCAGCCCGAGTCCTGGGACTCCTCAGCCCGAGTCCTGGGTCTAAAGCCTCAGTCCTGGGACTCCTCAGCCCGAGTCCTGGGACTCCTCAGCCCGAGTCCTGGGTCTAAAGCCTCAGTCCTGGGACTCCTCTAGCCCGAGTCCTGGGACTCCTCAGCCCGAGTCCTGGGACTCCTCAGCCCGAGTCCTGGGACTCCTCAGCCCGAGTCATGGGTCTCCTCAGCCCGAGTCCTGGGACTCCTCAGCCCCCTCAGCCCGAGTCCTGGGACTCCTCAGTCCGAGTCCTGGGACTCCTCAGCCCGAGTCCTGGGACTCCTCAGTCCGAGTCCTGGGACTCCTCAGCCCGAGTCCTGGGTCTCCTCAGCCCGAGTCCTGGGACTCCTCAGTCCGAGTCCTGGGACTCCTCAGCCCGAGTCCTGGGACTCCTCAGCCCGAGTCCTGGGACTCCTCAGCCCGAGTCCTGGGACTCCTCAGCCCGAGTCCTGGGACTCCTCAGCCCGAGTCCTGGGACTCCTCAGCCCGAGTCCTGGGACTCCTCAGCCCGAGTCCTGGGACTCCTCAGCCCGAGTCCTGGGACTCCTCAGCCCGAGTCCTGGGACTCCTCAGCCCGAGTCCTGGGACTCCTCAGCCCGAGTCCTGGGACTCCTCAGCCCGAGTCCTGGGACTCCTCAGCCCGAGTCCTGGGACTCCTCAGCCCGAGTCCTGGGTCTCCTCAGCCCGAGTCCTGGGACTCCTCAGCCCGAGTCCTGGGTCTCCTCAGCCCGAGTCCTGGGACTCCTCAGCCCGAGTCCTGGGACTCCTCAGCCCGAGTCCTGGGTCTCCTCAGCCCGAGTCCTGGGACTCCTCAGCCCGAGTCCTGGGTCTCCTCAACCCGAGTCCTGGGACTCCTCAGCCCGAGTCCTGGGACTCCTCAGCCCGAGTCCTGGGTCTAAAGCCTCAGTCCTGGGACTCCTCTAGCCCGAGTCCTGGGACTCCTCAGCCCGAGTCCTGGGACTCCTCAGCCCGAGTCCTGGGACTCCTCAGCCCGAGTCATGGGTCTCCTCAGCCCGAGTCCTGGGACTCCTCAACCCCCTCAGCCCGAGTCCTGGGACTCCTCAGTCCGAGTCCTGGGACTCCTCAGCCCGAGTCCTGGGACTCCTCAGTCCGAGTCCTGGGACTCCTCAGCCCGAGTCCTGGGTCTCCTCAGCCCGAGTCCTGGGACTCCTCAGTCCGAGTCCTGGGTCTCCTCAGCCCGAGTCCTGGGACTCCTCAGCCCGAGTCCTGGGACTCCTCAGCCCGAGTCCTGGGACTCCTCAGCCCGAGTCCTGGGACTCCTCAGCCCGAGTCCTGGGACTCCTCAGCCCGAGTCCTGGGACTCCTCAGCCCGAGTCCTGGGACTCCTCAGCCCGAGTCCTGGGACTCCTCAGCCGAGTCCTGGGACTCCTCAGCCCGAGTCCTGGGTCTAAAGCTGAGGAAAGCGTTAGCATTAGCTATAGCCTAGCATTAGCTATAGCCTAGCAGTATCCTGGGACATGCAGCCCTCCTCCTCTGCTACACAGGCTGCTGTTGCTACAGGTCCATTCAGATTGTACAGAGCAGCACCATTGACTTCACAGTTTCTGAGTCATTCTTTTAAGACAAAAGCATTTTCAAAAACTACTCGTGCTGTGCTGAATTTTCTATTAAACACTTTGATATTATAATAAATCCATGCACCGCACCAGTACTAGTTACACGTCACATGTAAATGACGTGGTCTGACAACGCTGAGGACAAACTGGGGGTACTATTTATGATGGAAAAGCACGAGAACTGGGCCATGGCGCGCCGTGTAGAGTCAAAACGTACCGTACTAGGACCGTGGAAAAACGGCAATTGAACCACTTTAGTGGACCAACAGGTGTGAAAGCACCATTTACACCTCAGCTGGATCTGAGTCATCTGTATTGATATACAGCTCCAGTCCTGGGTCTAAAGCCTCAGTCCTGGGTCTAAAGCCTCAGT